TTTGCCTACCTCTATGTCTCTTTGTGTCTCTCTCTCTTCTCTCTGTCTGTCTGCCTGTCTGACCTTTTGTATCACTGCTCTTCTGTTTTGGTGCATCTCGGTTTTCGTCTATCCTTTTCTCCCACCCCTCCGCTTCCACTGCTCTTTCTTCTCTCCCTCCCCTCCGTCCTTTTCCTCACCATTCTCCTTTGCTTCACCATTCTTCGCCCCTGATACACCGCTCTGTCACTTCCAGTTTTATAGTGCCTTTGTAACCTTTTGGCGCTCTCCGACTTAAGTTGGATTGCATCGCTGCAAACTGCTCCCAGCCGCTACAGCTCAGACTCTTGGTGCAGAAACTAATCAGTGACAAACTAGCGAGGGCGTAAATGAAAATTACTAGATCCAAGTGACAATAACAGCATAAATCCCTTAGCGAATCCACACGGATAAGAGTGCAAATTCGCACAGGGTCTCCAACCACATAATTTGGATAAAAGTTCAACAAACTTCATAAAAGAAATAAAGAGACCTCATTTTCGTCTGGGATGGGCATGCACAAGCTTGGTAATTGACTAATACTAGGAAAAAAAAAAAAAAAAAAAAAAAGCGCTACCGCGTTCCCCCGAACACAGCACACCCTCATCATGAATTCTGTTCGGGGAAGATGGGAGTGAAATTTTCAATTGACAACAACAGTCATCAAGTTACACTAACCACTCACCAACCCCTTCCTTTAGCCAGCACCACTCACCATGAACCGGTCCCAGAGATGATCGCCTCCAAATGTAAATGCAACAGGGTTGATCAACCCTTTGACCCCTACAATTGACCCTCCCTTCCGCTGACCAGGCCGCAGGTAATACTCCTGCTCTGGCTGCTCACAATCACATGAGAGATCAAACAACCTTCAAAATTCACAACACACACACACACACAGGGTTGGTGTGAGTAAAGCCGACCACTTTTCTCGAGGATATGGCTGACTCTGGGCAATGTGGTGACTCCTATCCATCGGTCAAATGCATGTGGGGCAGACTGTTGGGGTTCAACCTCCTTCACTCGGCGAAAATCCGATGAAACGGTCTGACAAAGTCGTGTTTTTCTTGTCGAATTGTGCATAGCAAAGATGACAACACACACACACACACACACACACACACACACACACACACACACACACACACGTCCGATTAAACAGTCTGGCACAGTCATGTTTTCCTGTGGAGTTGTGCACAGGGAGCATAACAATGCCTCTCTCTCTCTCTCTCTCTCTCTCTCTCTCTCTCTCTCTCTCTCTCTCTCTCTCTCTCTCTCTCTCTCTCTC